ATCTGAAAATCAACCCCTCTGTCAAAATTTTCAAAAATTTGACTTTTGCCATTTCAAGCTTAATTCTACTACGGACCTCCCTCCTAAGTCCAAAATCACCCAACGGAGCTAATGGAATAGACGGAACTCTATTCCGGAGTCGTCTTCATACATTTTTGACTATGGTTAAAATCCTAAGACTTAAGCTTTCGTCTTAGGGACCAAGTGTCCCAAATCACCCTGAATCATCCGATAACTGAATTCAACTACGCACGCAAGTCAATACACATAATACGAAGCTTCTCAAGACCTTAAGTTGCTGAACGAGGCGTTAATTCTTAAAATGACAAGTCGGGTCGTTATACATCTCAACCTCGTCTCACGCATTTTTGCCTCCACAGGGGCCACTCCCACCTTGTCCCAAATAACTTCATTCCTAATTCTATCCAACTTAGTATGCCCACACATCCAGCTCAACATCCTCATTTCAGCTAATTTCATCTGTTAGACATGGGAGTTTCTGACTGGCCAACACTCTGCCCTATACAACATAGTCGGTCTAACCACTACCTTATAGAACTTACCCTCAAGTCTCAACGGCACATTCTTATCACACAAGACACCGGAAGCGAGCCTCCACTTCATCCACCCTACTCCTATATGGTGTGTGACATCCTCATTTATTTCCCCATCCTTCTGAATTATAGACCCCGGATACTTGAAACTCTCTCTCCTGGGAATGACAACCGTATCGAGTCTCACATTCCCGTCCGTCTCCTGGGTAACACTGCTGAACATGAACTCCATGTATTTTATCTTGGTCCTGCTCAACTTGAAACCCTTAGACTCCAGAGTATGTATCCAGACCTCCAGCCTCTCGTTAACGCCATCTCGCGTCTCATCAATCTGGACTATGTCATCCAAAAATAACAAGAACCAAGGCACCTCACCTTGAATGTGTCGCGTCAATGAATCCATCGCCAGGGAAAACAAAAATGGGCTAAGTTTCTTGATGCAACCCCATCTCAACCGAAAAATATTCAGAGTCTCCTCTTGCTGTCCTAACCTGTGTCTTAGCTCCATTATACATGTCCTGAATAACTCTAATATACGCTACATGCACTCTTTTAGCCTCCAAACATCTCCATAGAACCTCACTCGAGACTTTTCCATAGGCTTTCTCCAGGTCAATGAACACCATATGCAAATCCTTCTTCATCGCCCTATAATGCTCCACCAATCTCCTCACGATGTGAATGGCCTCCACCAATCTGCTCCACTAAATTTTGAAAATTGAAAAAAAAATTAATATTCTAGAGCTTGAGTATTGGAAACAGTCTCTCTACATTCACGATAAATATAAGGTCTGCGTACACACTACCCTCCCCGGACTCTATTTGTGTAATTATATTGGGTTTATTGTTGTTATTTTAGAGCTTGAAAGTTAAAGAAAAAACTATAGATTAAACAATATCAATATTCTAGAACAATCGAAAACAATAAGATTAACATATAATTCAAGCTGAACAAATAGTAAAGTAAGAAAGTTCATTTGAAAATGACATAATTTTGATAGTCGTTCAGTAAGCAAAATATTAATTTGCATTTATCAAGAATTAACTAGTTTTACAATAGGGGTCAATTTACTGCAATTATCTTCTTTTTCCTAGTTTGGACCCACCAATCTAACAAGCTTTTTCTTTGACCAAGTTGATTAAAGCGATTTTTCGTAACAAAAGTAAATTAATTAGAGTTTTCAAGTTCGAACTCAAAAAAATAAATATATTTTTAATACAATGCGCTTCCTTCTTTAATAGGTTATATGTGATGTGAATTCGAAAAAAATAGTGCTCACTTGACACTTTTTAAAATTATCTTTTAAAAATAACCAATGTCATAGAGTTTCAATTTCCACAAAAATATATTGGAGTTTAAAATGTGGAAATTAAAAGTGACAATTTTTAATTTATTAAGCCTAAAACATACTAGTAACTATTTATGAATTTTATTTTAAATTTGAATTAATGGGGCCGGTGAATAGTGGATAGGACGAAAGAGGTTACATATCTATCGATCTATATCTATACTATATTAAAAGCACGAATACCCTTAGCGAAATGTCGTTCATCTTTTTTACCCTTTAAAAATATATTTTACATTGGATAAAATTATAAAATCAAAAAGATTCCTAATATTTAGGAGTTCTAAATTAAAGAAGTTTAAAAGAAATTATAATTTAGTATTTGATATCTTCTCGTAGGATACAAAATATTAAGACACTTAAGAATACAAAAAAATAGGAGGAAAGTTTCTTTTCCAAAAAGTAGGAGGGCTTCTTCTCAAGAAACTCCACGACGTATATTATTAGAAGCTTGGTTATTTAATCCATGTGTTTTTGTTCTTAAAATTTACGGCGGCATTAGGTTTTAAAATAGTAATTATTGGTGGAAAAAACAAAAATTATTAATTTGTGATAAAAATTAATTTCCATAATTAATTACAAAAGTACCTAAATTATTATTCTTTTAATAAAAAGAAACTAATATTATTATTAAGAAAGTTTATTACAGAATTTAACTTTATAAAATAGGAATTAGTTATAAAGTTCATCTTGTAGTTAATAGGATATTTTTATAATCTGTCACTAATTCAGTTATTGAATATGATTAGCGAATTTTTTATATTATTTAGCTACATAATTGGTCCATCACTAATTTTGTTTTTCTTTTTGTAGTTGACATGCATGTCTATATTAGTACCTAGACGATCATTTTGACTCGAAATTAAAATAAAAAAAGGGGATACATAATAGAACACTAATCTTTCAAGATTCTTGGTTATTTTCATGCTTAGCTAGGTCATTCGCTACTTATTGACAAAATAAGATCAGTATTTGTCATTTTCAAGAGTTTATATTTTTAAAAATTTTATTTTTGTCACACCTCCTTTTTCCGAGGAATAAGGGAGTTTTTCCACTTAAAGTGACATTATTCGAAATATGATTATTAATTTAATTTAGAGTCGCCACTTGAAATAATTTTATGGTGTCCCAAGTCACCGGTTTATTTTAAAATCCCAAGTCAAGGAAATTGACTCTTTTTTATGGTTTGCGAACACAGAAGATTGGGTAAGGAATTCTATTAACCTGGAAGAAGGTGTGAGGCTGTCACGACCCGAAATTCTCACCTTCGGGACCGTGATGGCGCCTAACACTTCACTTGCTAGGCAAGCCGGCGTTAGAATATAATTAGTCATTTTAACAAAATTTTAAATTTATTAATAACAAGAAAACAAATGCAGGATTAAAGTTTGAAATAAAGTGAGTAATTCATAATAATCGCGATATCTAAATACCATCTCAAAACTAGAGTCACAAGTGCATGAGCTTCTAGAATAATACAATTAAAGGTTTGAATAAAATTCAAGTTGTTTGAAATATAATACACAACTGAGATAAGATAGAAGGAGACTTCAGAACTGCGAACGCTGTGCAGTTATACCTCAAGTCTCTACTGATAGTTGTATCTGGGCAAATCTACTGTACGCCACTGGGACCAACTCCGAAATCTGCACAAGTGCAGAGTGCACTATCAGTACAACCGACCCCATGTACTGGTAAGTGCCGAACCTAACCTCGACGAAGTAGTGACGAGGCTATGACAAGACACGTACATAAACAACATGTACAAGTATATACAAATACGAAGTAACAATAATACAATAAATAATAATTTATAAATTAGGAGGGAACATGCGAAGGGGAAAGATATAATAATTTCAGCAGGAGATGTATCACTTAGTAGTCAATTAATTCATCAACAATAAAATGAGCAAATGATAATATGAAAATGGCATGGCACCACCCTTCGTGCTTTTACTCTCATTTTACACGGCATCACCCTTCGTACTTTTACACTCTCTGAAAATGACGCGGCATCACCCTTCATGCTTTTATACTCACAAATGGCATGGCAACACCCTTCGTGCTTTTACACTCACAAATGGCACGGCAACACCCTTCGTGCTTTTACACTCACAAATGGCACGGCAACACCCTTCGTGGTTTTACACTCTTCCTTACCATGAAAATAATAATATAAATTCGGAAGAGTATTTAAATGTGGGGATATACACTTATCAATCAATTCAATACCAAAATACTGACTTCACCTTCTAAAATATTCAACAATAATTAAACGAATAATAATTTCACGAATAATGATCAAATAGTCAATAATAAACTTAAGCAAGAATATCTTAATTAAATAGATAATTATTCAAAACAAACAAATTCCACTCGCATGCTTTGACTCAACCACAATGCATAAGTACTCGTCACTTCACATATACGTTATACCCGCACATTAAATCATGTAGCAAATAGATAAATAAGTCATACTCCCTCAAGTCAAGGTTATCCACGACACTTACCTCGCTTGAAACTAAATTCAAGAATCCAATAAACCTTTGCATCGCGAATTCGTGTCCGAAATCCTCAAATCTAGTCATAAATAATTCAATATACTCAATACAAATCGTAGGAATTAATTCCATATGAATTTGCTAATTTTCTGGATTAAAATCCGAAATTCATCTCAAAAGTCAATAGTGGGGCCCACGTCTTGAATCTCGAAAATACTGACAAAATCCGAACAGCCGTTCCGAGACGAGTCCAACCATATAAAAATTACCAAATTCCGATGTCAAATGGACCTTCAAATCTTAATTTTTTATTTTTGGAAAGTTTTACAAAAATTTCAAATTCTTGCATCTAAATCCGAAATAAGTGATGAATATAGACATGGATTTATGAAATATAAACACTTTTGGTTATATAACACTTACCCAATTCAAAATCGTGAAAAACCCCTTTGGAATAGTCAAAATCCGAGACTTAAAACTCAAAAATGAGTGAAAATGGCTAAAACCCGATTTTATGTATTCTGCCCAGCATTTTTGCATCTGCGGGCTATATTTTCGCACCCGCGACCTCGCATTTGCGAGACAAATCTCGAATTTACAGAACGGGGCAGCTTGTCCAGTGGCCGCATCTGTGCCCAGAAATGTCGCACCTGCGACATCGCAGAAGCGGCTCGTCTATTGCGGATGCGGTTTCACACCTGCGCTCATTTCTCCGAAGAAGTGGAGCTCGGCAGGGCTGTCTATTGTCGCAGAAGCAACTGGAATTCCGCAGGAGCGACCATGCACCTGCGCACAAAATGTCGCAGGTGCGACACACCAGAACCAGCACTGGGCAGCAGGTTCCAATTGCTCTGTGGCTCGTCCGTAACTCATCTGAGCCATTCGGGACCTCATCTGAATATTCCAACATGTCCAGAAATATAATACGGACTTACTCGGGGTTTCAATTCACGTAAAACAATATCAAAATTACAATTCACACCTCGATTCGAACTTTTGAGTTTCAAACTTTTCAATTTATAAAACTTGTGCCAAAACATATTAAATGAATCCGGAATGACTTTAAATTTTGCACATAAGTCATAAATGACATAACATAGCTATTCAAATCTTCAGAATCGGATTCCGACCACTATATCAAAAAGTCAAATCCGTGGTCAAACTTTTGAAAATCTTTAGCCTTTAAATTTCTAGTTTCAGTTAAATTGTCATAACTTGAGCTAAGGACCTCCAAATTAAATTTCGGGCATACGCCCAAGTCCCAAATCATGATACGGACTTATCAGAACTGTTAAAACACTGATCCGGGTCTATCTGCTCACAATATTGACCAAAGTCAACTCAGTTGAGTTTTAAGGCTCTATTTCATATTTTAATCCATTTTTCACATAAAAGCTTTTCGGAAAATTATACGGACTGCGCACGCAAGTCGAGGAATGATGAATAGTGATTTTGGAGGTCTTAGAATACAGAATTAATTATTAAATTTAAAGATGACCTTTTAGGTCATCACATTCTCCACCTCTAAAACAAACGTTCGTCCTCGAACGGAATTAGAAAAGTACCTGAGATGGTAAAAAGGTGTGGATATTTACTCCGTATGTTCGACTCGGACTCCCAGGTAGATGCTTCTACCAGCTGACCTCTCCATTGTACCTGAACTGAAGGATAACTCTTGGACCTCAACTGTCGGACCTGCCGGGCGAGAATAGCTACTTTTCATAAGTCAAATCTTTGTCCAATTGGACCGAGCTGAAATCTAACACATGAGACGGATTACCATGATATTTCTGAAGCATAGACACATGGAACACCGGATGAACCGCTGATAAAGTAAGTGGTAGTGCAAGCCTGTAGGCTACTTCACCCACCCTTTCAAGAATTTTGAAGGATCCAATATACCTTGGGTTTAATTTGCCCTTCTTTTCGAACCTCATTACACCTTTCATAGGTGAAACCCGGAGCAATATTCTTTCTCCAACCATGAATGCAATATCACAAACTTTACGGTCGTCATAACTCTTTTGCCTAGACTGAGCTGTGCGAAGTCGATCCTGAATAACCTTGACCTTATCCAAGGCATCCTGTACCAAATCGGTACCCAAAATTTGAGCCTTTCCCGGTTCAAACCAACCAACTGGCGAACGACATCACCTTTTGTATAATGCCTCATATGGAGCCATCTGAATGCTCGACTGGTAGCTATTACTATAAGCAAACTGTGCAAGTAGCAAGAACTGATCCCAAGAACCTCCAAAGTCTATAATACAAGCGCAAAGCATATCTTCCAATATCTGAATATTGCGCTCTGACTGTCCGTCTGTCTGTGGATGAAATGTTGTACTCAACTCAACCTGCGTGCCTAACTCACGCTGTACAGCCCTCCAAAAGTGTGAGGTAAACTACGTACCTCGATCTGAAATAATAGACACGGGCCCACCGTGAAGGCGGACAATCTTATGAATGTAAATTTCAGCTAACCGCTCTGAAGAATAGGTAACTGCCACTGGAATAAAATGTGTTGACTTGGTCAACCTGTCCACAATGACCCAAACTGCGTCGAATTTTCTCTGAGTCCGTGGAAGCCCAACAACAAAATCCATGGTGATACGCTCCTACTTCCACTCAGGAATTTCTAACTTCTGAAGCAAACCACGAAGTCTCTGATACTCGTACTTAACTTGCTGACAATTTAGACACCGAGCTACAAATGCAACTATATTCTTCTTCATTATCCTCTACCAATAATGTTGCTGCAAATCTTGATACATTTTGGCGGTACCTGGATGAATAGAATACTTGGAACTGTGGGCCTCTTCAAGAATTAATTCACGAAGCCCATCTACGTTAGGCACACAAATACGATCCTGCATTCGCAGAACTCCATCTTCCCCCACAGCAACCTATTTGGCATCACCTGCCGCACCGTGTCCTTAAGGACAAATAAATGAGGATCATCATACTGCCGCTCTCTGATATGCTCATATAAAGAAGACCGAGTGACTTTGCAAGCTAGAACCCGACTAGGTTCTGAAACATCTAACCTCACGAACTGATTAGCCAAAGTCTGAACATCTACAGCTAACGGTCTCTCACCAACCGGAATATACGCAAGACTGCCCATACTCACAACCTTTCTACTCAAAGCATCAGCCACTATATTGGCATTTCCGGGGTGATACAAAATAGTGATATCATAATCTTTCAATAACTCCAACCATCTTCTCTGCCTCAAATTGAGATCTTTTTGCCTGAACAGATACTTCAGGCTACAATGATCGGTAAATACCTCACACGAGATACCGTAAAGGTAATGTCTCCAAATCTTCAAAGCGTGGACAATGGCTGCCAATTCTAAGTCATGAACATGATAATTCTTCTCATGAACTTTCAACTGTCGCGACGCATATGCAATCAATATGCCATATTACATCAATACTGCACCAAGCCCAACGCGAGATGCATCACAATACACTGTATAAGATCCTGAACCTGTGGGTAATACCAACACTGGTGCCGTAGTCAAAGCAGTCTTAAGCTTCTAAAAGCTCAACTCACACCCGTCTGACCATCCGAATGGAACACCTTTCTGGGTCAGTCTGGTTAATGGGCTTGCTATAGATGGAAACCCCTCCACGAACCGACGATAATAACCTGTCAAACCCAGGAAACTCCGGATCTCTGTAACTGAAGTAGGTCTAGGCTAATTCTGAACAGATTCAATCTTCTTAGGATCCACTTTTATGCCTTCTATCGATACAACATGCCCCAAAAAGGCAACTGAGTCTAACCAAAATTCACATTTTGAAAATTTGGCATATAACTGATTATTCTTCAAAGTCTGAAGCACAGCCCGAAGATGTTGCTCATGCTCCTCTCGACTGCTGGAGTAAATCAAGATATAATCAATGAATATAACTATAAAAAATCCAAATAGGGCTTGAACACCCGATTCATCAAATCTATAAATGTTGCTGGGGCATTTGTCAACCAAATGACATCACTAGGAATTTGTAATGCCCATATCGAGTCCTAAAAGGTGTCTTAGGGACATCAGATGCCCTAATCTTCAACTGATGGCAACCAAACCTCAAATCGATCTTCGAAAATACCTTGGCACCCTGAAGCTGATCAAATAAGTCATCAATTCTTGGCAACGAATATTTGTTTTTGATAGTGGCTTTGTTCAACTGTCGATAATCTATACACATCCGCATAGAGCCATCTTTCTTCTTTACAAATAGTACCGGTGCACCCCAGGGCGAGACACTAGGTCTAATGAATCTCTGATCAAGCAAGTCTTGTAACTGCTCCTTCAATTCTTTCAACTCTGGCGGGGCCATATAGTATGGTGGGATAGAAATGGGTTGAGTGCCCGGAGCTAAGTCAATACAGAAGTCAATATCTCTGTCGGGTGGCATTCCCGGCAAATCTGCAGGAACTACTTCTGAAAATTTACAAACAACTGGTACTGAGTCCATAGAAGGAGCATCCGCACTGGGATCACGAATATAAGCCAAATAGGTTAGACACCCTTTCTCGACCATACGCCGAGCCTTCATATAAGAAATAACCCTGCTGGTAGAATGACCAAGAGTTCCTTTTCACTCTAATCGAGGTAACCCCGACATGGCTAGGGTCACCATCTTGGCATGACAATCCAATATAGCATGATAAGGTGATAGCCAATCCATTTCCAAGATGACATCAAAATCTACCATATCAAGAAGTAGAAGATCCACACTAGTCTCAAGACTCCCAATAGTAACCACACACGAATGATAGACATAATCTACCATGATAGAATCTCCCACCGGAGTGGACACACACACAGGGGTACTCAGAGAATCATGAGGAATCACCAAATATAAAGCAAATTAAGAGGACACATAGGCATAAGTAGATCCTGGATCAAATAGAACTGAAGCATCTCTATGGAAAACTAGAACAATACTTGTAATCACGGCATCGGATGATTCGGCCTCAAGCCTAGCTGGAAAAGCATAAAATCGGGGCTGGGCCTCACCACTCTAAACTGCGTCCCTGGGACAGCCTCTAACTGGCAGGCCTCCAACTCTAATGGCATGACCTCCACCTCTAATGGTCAGACCTCTACTTCAAGCTGCATGACCCCTACCTCTAGCTGGCTGAGCATGCGGTGAAGCAACCGGTGCTGAAACCATAGCACGAGAACCCTGCTGTTGCATTCTACCATGAGACATGGGGCAGAATCTAGAAATGTGCCTTAGATCACCACAAGTATAACAGGACCTCGACTACTGTGACTGCTAACCCGAACGGGCCGAATAACGGTTGTAGTGACTATGGAGTGGTGGTGCAGTGATAGGAGCTCAATGTGCACTAAATGCTGGCTGCCCAGAGTAAGGCATAATAGGACCGTGACTCCCTCAAGCACCGGGAGATACCTGAAGTGCTGAATGAAACAGTCTGGAAGGATGACCTCTACCAAAATTACCCCTGCCTCCAGATGAGGCACTACTGAAACCACCAAACTGACGAGGCCTCTTATCATACCTCTGCCCTCTCTTTTGTGGAAGAACCATCTCGATCCTCCTCGTGACATTAGCAGCCGCCTGAAAGGAAATCTCACTTCCTGCCTCCTTGGCTATCTGAAGCCTGATAGGGTGAGTGAGTCCCTCAATAAAACTTTTCACTCTCTTTCCCTCAGTAGGTAGTAAAAGGAGAGCATGACGGGCTAAATCCATAAAACGAGATTCATACTGAGTAACAGTAATACTGTCCTACTGTAGACACTCAAATTGCTTGCGGTAATCCTCTCTTAATGTGATAGGGAGAAACTTCTCTAGAAAAAGCAGTGAGAACTGTTCCCAAGTCAGTGTAGGTGACCCAGCTGGTCTGGT